ATAAATTTTCTTTTGTAGAATATTTCAAAGTCAACAGCTTCGAGCAGTTTTGCATAAACTACTGCAACGAGAAGCTCCAGCAGTTCTTTAACGAGCGAATTTTGAAGTACGAGCAGGAACTTTATGCTCGAGAATCTTTAAACGTCCCGAAAATCTCCTACGTCGATAATCAAGATTGTATCGGTGCGTAAAATTGAAAAAATTCTAGAATAATATCTTGTTTAAATTTATTATTTCAGAAATGGAATGATAAATAATACTCCCATTCATAGGATTTTAGAAATAAATCATGAATCATGCCAACTTTCAGATTTAATCGAATCGAAAAATACGGGTATCTTCAGCCTGCTGGATGAGGAATCAAAACTGCCGACTCATAGTTTCGCGCATTTCACCAACGAGGTCCATCGTGCGTGGAGCGGTCATTTCCGCATCACTTTACCACGAACGTCACGATTGAAGGCTCATCGAGAATTACGAGACGACGAGGGCTTCGTCATTCGTCATTATGCCGGTGGTGTCTGCTATCAAACGGTAAAATAACGTATTTCGTTCAAGATACAGCGAGCGATGTATAAAATCGTCGACATATTTTGGACTCTCTTTTATAAATGAATTTTTATTTTAATATCGCAGAACCAATTTATCGAGAAAAACAACGACGCGTTGCACGCTTCTCTGGAGGCGCTCATTCAAGAGAGCGGTAGCAAATTCCTCAGGACGCAGTTCGCCAATCATTCCTTGCAAAAGGGGAAGCTCAATTTTATCAGCGTCGGTAGTAAATTCAAAACGCAGCTAGGGGAACTTATGGACAAACTGAAGAGCAATGTAAAGAATATTTTCTTTTTTCTTTGAATTCTTTTCAATATTCTAACACTCTTATTTATATTTTTATTTCAATCTTCTTATTCAACATTTCTCTTCTATATTTTTAGGGAACGAATTTCATAAGGTGCATCAAACCAAACAGCGATATGGTGGCGCATCAATTCGACGGGAACAGTATTATGAATCAACTCCGCTGCTCGGGAATGACGTCGGTTCTGGAACTTATGGAACACGGCTATCCCAGCCGAGTGCCGTTCCACGAGCTCTACAATATGTACAAGTCTTACTTACCACCGGAACTGGCTAAATTAGATCCCAGATTTTTCTGCGAGGCGCTGCTTCATAGTTTAAAGTTGAATCAGAAGGACTTCAAATTCGGCATCACACGGGTCTTTTTCAAGCCGGGCAAATTCGCCGAGTTCGACCGGATCATGAAGTCCGACCCGGAGAATCTGCGCAGACTGGTCGCCAACGTGAAAAAGTGGCTGTTAAAGTCGCGCTGGAATAAGTTACAGTTTTGCGCTCTGTCGGTGATTAAACTGAAAAACAAGATCATCTATCGGCGGCAACATCTAATCGTATTGCAGAAAACGGCTAGGATGTACATCGCGAAAAAACAGCATCGGCCGCGCATTCGCGGTATCGTGAAAATCAAGAATCTGCGGAAACAACTGACGCGAATGGAGGAGACCGCGGGTCAACTGAAGAATCGGGAGAGATCGACACAGGACATGAAGAGGCTGGACGACGACCTAGAAGCGGCCATACGCAAGATCAAAAACAATCCGAGGATCACGCCAACGGAAATTGACGGTCTCTACACGTCTCTGGTGAACCAGATGAACAAGCAGATGGCCTCTCTGCAAGATATGGTGAAGCAACAGAAGGTCGCTGAGGAACAGGCGAGATTGAAAAAAATCCAACAGGAGCTCGAGCTCGAGAAGAAACGTAAGGAAGAGGAGGAACGAAGAAAGAGGGGAGAGGAAGAAAACAGGAGAAAGAAACTCGATATGGAGGCCAGAAGGAAAATCGAAGAGGAGCAGAGGAGAAAACAGGAGGAAGAGGATCAGAAGGCGGCGGTTGCTCTCCAGGTTTGTTCGAATTTTTTGAATAATTACTACTATATACATATACTCTGTTTTTATTACTATTTTCATTAAATTTTTATATATTATTTTATTAATTTTATATACTATATTCTTTATTTTTATATTTATTATTCAAAGGCTCAATTGGAAAAGGAGGCCATGGAGGAGACTCGATATCGGGAATTGCTCGAGCAAGAAAGAAGAGACCACGAACTGGCAGTCAGACTCGCTCAAGAATCCAACGGGCAAGTGGAGGATTCACCACCGCTTGCACGAAGGTAAGATTCGAGATAACTTTTTAAAAAGATCGACTTTAGACGGTAACTTTATACACGTATACGCGTTAATTTATATAATTTATATGGATAATTATGTGCGTGATTTATACACGATATTTAAAATACTTAATATTAAACAAGTATGTTCAACGGATATTACTAAAAAAATCGACCTTAGATATAATATTCAAAAATATACTAATTGATTTAGAAACGAATCGTATACGAGTTATACGAGTTTATTACAAACCGATGGATTAAATAGCGAATAGATGCTTAATCGATCGAAACGTTTATCTAATTGCAATTTAATTCTTGATCGATAACGCTTATCATTCTTAATACGCGCTATAAAATGTTGTTAACAACTGGAATAAGACATTATTTTGTTGTTTAAAATCACGCAGCGGCTCCGACGTACGAGTATCTACGAACAACAACAGGCTAATGAGGTATCGTATAATTACCCGGGTTTTTTTTTTTTTTTGTATGAATGACTAATGCCAAGTTGAGAGATTTATTCCCGCGAATCAATTAACACTCATCCACTACATTAATCTTCGATAATATTCATTCACGGGTAAACTGTTTTCCATCTCCGAGGAAGATCGAGTGTCATTCGAAGAATTTCCATTATGGAAAATGACACGACGATTTTCGGTCATTCCTGCACGTGTATTAACCGTAAAATTTATTAGCCGAACCATTTCCCGGTCTCTATTTTTTATACGCTCACGCATGACTCGCCAATTTCAGCAAATGCGTTAACACTGGCTTCCTCGTAGACTAACGCCGAAGCGGAAACGCTTACTACGGTATCTAATCGAAATTTGCACAATGTTGCGAAATCGCGATTACTAACATGCTACTTTCTAATTCGCATTTGTTCGCGATGTAGATCGGAACAGGTGCGTAATCAGCAAGCGGCTATGAGCAACAAGAAGTACGACCTGTCAAAATGGAAATATTCAGAGTTGAGAGACGCAATTAATACGTCCTGCGACATCGAGTTACTGGAGGTACGTTCATGCACGTGTGAATGATCGATTATATAATCGTATATATAATGATCTTTAATGAGAGAAATAAAAATCTCCCAGGCTTGCCGTCACGAGTTTCATCGTAGACTGAAGGTTTATCACGCCTGGAAGGCGAGGAATCGCAGGCGAACGACCATGGACGAAAATGAACGGGCGCCAAAATCCATCATGGAAGAAGGTAGATAACCGTATAAATTACGAATAATAACGATAACGGTTACAATATTGCAGATTAATAATAAATAAAAATTTATAACGCGATTAATTTGACGCGAACAAATATCGATTACGCTTTCCAGCTGCGAAAACACCGAGAACGACGATGAAGCAGCAGATAGTCGAGTCGTCGCAGAGATACTTCCGGATCCCCTTCGTCCGTTCCTCCGCGGCGGGACAGCAGGACAACACACACAGCGGCGGCAAAAGGGGCTGGTGGTACGCGCATTTCGATGGACAATACGTGGCACGGCAGATGGAACTCCATCCCGATAAACCGCCTATACTTCTCGTGGCAGGTAAAATCTTCTGACGATCCTTATATCTATCGATTGTGCCGTTATACGAATTTCTTTGCATTGGGAAATAAAATCGCATGTATTTTAAAAATCATGGCCGTAAGAGCCTATTAATAAATTATATTTTTTTAATAAATTATAATATATCAACAGAAGTAATGGACTTTAAAGAAAACAGAGCGAATTTTTATAGAAATATCGAAAGAATATTTGCGCTGATAAACTCGTAATAATCTTATCGTCTTTTAACACGAGATATGCTCGGCGTATGATTCATTATCTTCAACTTGTACCGTGCTGCATTTTTATGTTGGGAAAGAAATGGGGAATTTTCTTTTCTCTGTTCGCCAGGCATCGACGATATGCAGATGTGCGAGTTGAGTCTGGACGAGACCGGATTAACGCGGAAACGCGGCGCCGAGGTCCTGGAACACGAGTTCAATCGCGAATGGGAGAAGTACGGCGGTAAACCGTACATACCACCGTGCGATCGCAAAAAGTGATGGATTCTCGATGCGAGAGAGGAATCCGTTCTTCCTTCGCGAGAAAAAGTAGACGTCATCGTAAAGCAACGCGGAAATTTGAGCGAATTACGTATTTTACGTATAAGTAGTTTCTTGCGTCCAGTTACGTAAAATGCGATTCTTCTGTGCCTTGCGAAATGTATCTCGTGCACGGATTATATATATGTATACACATACACGCGCGCGCGCGCGCGCGTCTACAATTTATAAATTACATCGCACTTACGTATAAACATGTTGTCGAAATTTTCATCGATATAAATATTGCTTGTTTGTCAGAATCTAGCTTTTACCGGTCTTAAGTTATCTAGTTCTACCGATTCTGGAGTTATCAATCAATCAGTATTTCGTATAATAATAAATGCGTTTATAATAAAATTATGATGTATAAAATCGGGTTAAATGTGATGACTTTCTAAAAAAGAACGTGTAAAGGATTATTACGCAAATTACTTTTCTTGCAGAGTGTTTACGTTTCTAAACAACATACTTTACAAGTATGTATAGGATACGAGATGTAGTCGAGGTTCCTTGTATTAGGCTTGTGTTTTCGAGTTACACACAAATATGTGTGTAATTTTGTTATTTATAAGATTTAGTAGCGGTAATATTTATCGCATAAGTCGCGTTTCGAATAATGATTAATAAAAAGAATGCAAATAAACGGATACATAATAAACGATTTATGCTGCAACAGTGGAAGCGGAATCATTAAAGAAAACAAACGTAGTGATATATACCTCGAATTAAATATAACAAAGATTCTTACAAAAATTTCAAACTATAAAATAGTAGTCTCATTCGGGCGATGTATCCATGATTGCGCTGCGTATATATTAATATAATTATATATAATAGTGTATTAAAAAAATATTTATATACATATATTAATAAATCTTTAGCAAGAGAAATAAAACATATTTTCTTTGAAAATATCGCATTCCTAAGTTTTTTTACGAAAACAACTGTCTGTAAAAGACTGTAGAAGTAGCTCCATTATTCTCGTGCCACTTTTCTATGCGACAAAAATATATAACATCATCTGTTACTTACAGAATAAGCTATCCCGATAATTTGTTATTCACTTATCGATATCGATGGCGGTACCCAACCACCGAAAGCCGTCTCCATCTCTTTCGCAACTGCCAGACAGAGACGATCCTGATAAGGTGCGGCTATCACCTGCAATTTTTTTTTTTTTTTTTTTTAATAAAACTTGGTTTCTCATAAAAGGGTAATAGACAAAAAGAATTCCTTCTTGAAACTAAGAATCTCAAGTTCGAAAAATCAATTGATTAGTTGCACAATTTCCTGGGCATTGGGTTCAAGGTCTAATGAGATTGAATTGTAAATCAAAATATTAGAGAGGCGTATTCTGAAAGTAGAAGTAATTTTAATGTACTGTCCTGATATGGCAAATACTGGTTTGTTAGTTTTAACAAATCCTGCAAAAGTGAGAAGATTACTACCTGTGATTAAGGAGCATGTTTTGAAAACACTGTATATTCAATATCTTCCAGAGAAGAATATTTTTGCGCCAGGAAATTATAATATCGTGAACCTGCAATTTTTTTTTTTTTTTTTTTTTAATACAACTTGGCTTCTCATAAAAGGGCTCTATTCCGAATGATTATTATTCGCATGTTTCGAACTTTTGTATTGCTCTTGAGAGAAAGAGAGGATCATCCGGTTGGCTTACCTGAACACCGATGGGCAATCCCTTGTGGTTGAGTCCCATTGGTACGTGCACCGCCGGAAAGCCAAAAGTATTGAAAATACCGCAGTAAGTGGTGTTCAATGTTTCGCATATGCTAAGTTCAGGAAAAACTGCCGGACGCCGAAAAGTCGGATAAATAAATATTCCGTCCTCTCCCAACAGATCCTGCGCGAGAAATGAGAAAAGATGATAAGAACCGTTAATATAGAGACGGTTATGATAATTAATGTTAAACTCTCGGGACACTAACCAGCAGCTTTTGCCGAATCGCCTTTCCCTGTTTCGTGTAATGCAATACATCTGATTCCGAGAACGGGAAACGCGTTTCAAACATCATGCTGAAGAAGATCGTCTGCTGTGTGTGTTGCGATAAGCCGAACAGACTTTTCACCAATTCCATAACTGGATTTTTTTTCAGCTGCGACAAAAGAAAAATTAATATCAAAATAGAAGATACAAATTTTATATGTGCATCTAAATATAATGTAAAAGATAAATTTTTTTTTCCGGTATGTGTTTTTTTTTTTTTTATTTTCACACACACACACAGTAAAGAGAAAAATTTTCGTAACACTATATCTACGCAACGCGTAGGTAAAATATGTTGCATTTTACTTCTAAAACTACATTGCAGCAATATTACGCAATACGGTAATTCTGTAGTGAAATATCGTTTGTATTTTTTTAACGCTGAGTGGAAAGAGCACGAACGTAACTTTCACATGACAAGAGAGTTAGCTGGTTACAATACACTATAAATGTTATAAAATTTTTGAAACAATCATTTTTATGCGTGTTTAAAAAAAAAAGTATGTGTGCATTTTGTAAATGTGTGTGTGTGTGTGTGTGTGTGTGTGTGTATATAAATACCATGGGATCATTAGCGTCTATCAATAACTGTGGGAGATCTTGTATATTCAAAAGCTCGATCAACACAATTTCAACCAGTTCGGTCGGCCATTCTATCGGCAACTGCAACATGTCGAGTAATTCTGTGTCAAGTTTTACATCCTATGAAATAAACACGTCGTATAAATGAGCGTCGTAAATACCTCCTCCGCGCGAATATCGTATTGCGTAAAGTGCGTTACGGCTTTCTGTATGCAATCTTTGTGTGTGTATGCATATATAAATACCATGGGATCATTAGCGTCTATCAATAACTGTGGGAGATCTTGTATATTCAAAAGCTCGATCAACACAATTTCAACCAGTTCGGTCGGCCATTCTATCGGCAACTGCAACATGTCGAGTAATTCTGTGTCAAGTTTTACATCCTATGAAATAAACACGTCGTATAAATGAGCGTCGTAAATACCTCCTCCGCGCGAATATCGTATTGCGTAAAGTGCGTTACGGCTTTCTGTATGCAATCTTTGATTTCCGGCACTACCCGTAATGTGCCAAACGCCTCGTCCATGCTAAACCGATAATAGACCTTCAATTGCCGCAGGTCTACCGGCACATCTAAACGCAGGTTGCGATCGCACGTAGACGTCAACACTTTCATAAGTAACCCGAGATCCTCCGCGTATCTGGCCATCGGACCTATGGTCAGGAGTTTTTGAAAAACTTTATCCTCGCTATATGGAAAATGTCCTATGTTTGAAACAATTCCTGCAAGAAGAAAAATGTACGATAAATTAATATAAAAATTTCTTTAAGGAAACAGAATTATGTGTGCGATTGAAACACGAATCATGTATTAAAAAAAAAAAAAAAATTCAATTTACCAGCCGTAGGTTTGTACCCAAAAATGCCGTTGTAAAGAGACGGTACTCTTATAGAGCCAGCCAAATCCGAACCAATTCCAATCACGGAAGCACCTGCCCCGATCAACGCACCCTTAAAGAAAAATATGTTTTTAAACATATTTTTTTCCCTTTTTATTTTCTCCTTTTCATTTTCACTTTATATTAAATTCTATTAAATTCAACTTCTTAGAGCGAAGCACATTTCATATCAGTTACAAAGTAACAATATCACGTGGCAATGTGTTTATCTTCGCGTGTTCTCTTTTCACATGAGCAGAAAGTGTTTCGAGCGAAAGTCGTTAATGAATAACAATTTATCTTTGGTTCGCGTAAATATTTCAATCGAGTTGGCATTCGAAAGATAGTTTTTTAATAACGATCGATAATAATGATATATTTCCGACTGAGAAAGCAATGTCAATAATCCTACAACTATTAGTTACGCAGATAGTAGTATATACTTATATATGATAGAAATAATTCTTTTCGCACGCGAATCCTTTTTTAGAAATAAAAAAAAACATCGTATGTGCTATATATTAAACGCATCTAATTATCGAAACACTGAAGAATAGCGAGGTCACAAAAAGCTAAGTATATAACATATTCTGCCACTGCGCAACATTAGTCGAATTTGTGCGTTAAAAAAAACCTTCATGTCCATAATAGTCATTCATCTCTGCTTGGTTAAAAAGACCTTCTCATCCATAATAGTCACTCTCTGTAAATGTTGAAGTTCGTGAGGTCAAGTCTTTGTCCAATAATCAATGTCTTTATTGTGAAGAAGGAATTATGTCTTGTCAATCCTAATCAAAGGTATTCACTGAATATATCAATGTTACGTAATAACAGAATATGATATTTAGCTTCGTGTAATCTTGCTAATTTTTTGTATGTTAGTCACGCACACACACTTAGATTCTAACATGTAACTCATACGATGTTCTTCGTTTTTTATGTATATTTTATATTTGCGGCTAAAGAGACGCAAGTAAGTATCGAAACGTCCCACTTATTACAACTATTAAAGAGATTTTGACAATTATCTACGTTCTTTAAAAAAAATTTTAATTTATAATATTAATCTTTAATTAATAAATCTTTTTAATTTATAATATATGCGTTTGTATTTATTTTACTTCTATTGTAACTAACGAAAAAACCGAGAACGCGCTTTTTCGGACAGAGAACTATTTCATAAATAATTTTCTTAAAAAATAATTCTTTTTTTTTTTTTTTACTAAGCGATTATCTCATTATTAATGCCCTCGAAATGATCCCAGCTGAATTACCTCTCCGCCAGATGATCCGCCGGGCGTGTACCTGGTGTCGTAAGGATTATAGCTACGGCCGTACAATAGATTCGAGCTCTCGAAACCGCAGCACATCTCCGGAGTGTTTGTAACGCACACTGGGATCGCTCCAGCGTTTCGGAGTATTTTGATAACTACGGCATCGCAGGATGCCTTTGCCCCTTTGTGGCCTAAAGAACAACCTGTGTAACTGCAACCTGCGACCACAAAAAATTTACCTTTGTTTACATCTTTCTTAAAATAAAATTCACCAGATATCGATCGCACTTAATATAATTTAATATTTTAAAATATGACAAAAAGATGATTGAATCTTTTTCGTAAATATTTGAATATATATATATATATTAACAAAATTTTATTTTTATATTTATACATATATTTTTCTCTCTTATATTTTTATTTTTTCTCCGTCTCTGTCTTTTTCTCTTTTAACATGATATATTTTTAAAAATACGTACAAATGCAAATTATTGTGGTATATTATCACAAAAAATTAATTATACCTTTAACAGCACAACATTCCTTGACTGTGAGCGGTACACCGTACAGTGGCTTCTCCTTCTCTAACGTTTCAATGCTAAACTTGCCGTTTGCTAACTGCTCGTCGCAAATTTTCGCTTCATATATTGCATCGCCAAATCGATTGTCGACGACAGCGTTTAAGATAGAATTCACTTTTTTAATTTGCTGTATATATGCATCCATTACTTCGTAACAGGTAATCTGTTTTTTATAGAAAAATAATTTTCTATATTTACATCATTTATAATTTCTTTAACACGCCTTAGTGCCGGTCTACAATAGGTGATTTAATCCTTAAGCCTTAAGAAATTGACCAATCATAGTCAAGTATGAGGAGAATACTCGACTGTGATTAGTCAATTTCTTAAGGCTTAGGGCTTAAATCACCTATTGTAGACCGGCACTTATGTATCCAATGTATCAATAAAATATAATAGATCACGCTTGATCGTAATAAAATTTAATTATAGTAAAATAATTACATGGCATGTAGTAAATACACTCACCTCTCTTTGTCTAATTTTTCTAGCAAGTGCAGTGGCGCTAAATGTGAACAAGGAATCTGTTATCGGTGGTATTTTCTGCTTCTTGCGTATAAATAACAAGATCCAACGTAGTATTGCATGGATAATATATATCATACCAAACGCCACACGTAACTTTAACAACATTGTCTGTAAGATAAATATTACGTTATCTAATCGCAATGCATACCATATTGGGAGAATGAATTCAACCTGCGATAAGTTATATTTTTCTGGCTTGTCATGTACAAGTATCGTATATTATTGTAGAGAAAAATGTAAACAAGAAGCTTAAGAGTATCAATCTTTTATATAGTTTTCCAATTAAAAATGTTAATCACTTATATAATTACGATATTATTATCAAATTAAATTAATTGGAAATGGCAATCAGAGCCAGGCGCGGTAGTTGGAGCGCAAACAGTTTTTTATTATGTAACATTCTCTACATGCAAATTAGACGTTTCGGCCTCTTTTTTAGGCCATCTTCAGTATAAATTAACTTATTATATAGGTTTACGGTCGCATTGGTTTAGTCGGTTACTAACCTGGACATTACTAACATGAAAGAGCATTGTCGCAGAAAGTTAAAATAATAATAAATAAATAAATAACTTAAAATAAAGACCGGTATGACAATAACAATGGTCGTAAAGGAAATTAAAATAAAGACCGGTAAACGATATTATTAATTAGAATTTTCTGGAATTAATCTATAGAAAATATCTTACTATTATATTTTAATTTAGAATTGATTTTACAGTTGATTAAACAATATACGATGATACATTGTATTTTCTGTTGATGACATGCATAAAAATATGAAACCTTAAAGTAGGGTCAATACATGAAAATATATGCGATATGCATTTTAAAATATTGAAATAAGCTATTAGAATGTGACATTTTTGCATCTTAATCTTACTTGAAAAACTAGTACATATCTATTTCAAAGAAAATTTATTTCAATGTCGCGTATCAATACATTCACGGCACGTGTTAATCATTAACATTATTGCGTAATTTATTTAACATAATCGAATTACGTAATAACGAATTACGAATCTTAAAGTTATGGGGCAATGTTTACAATTCCAGGTGGTCTTCACCTTGACTTTCGTATCACGATTCGCGAATAAACGTAACCGTGACTTTAACGACAGTCCTATCGCGAATGACAAATAACGTATCCGTGATGGTTCCTTTCGTAATCGATCACCTAGACTCTTTTAAACGAGTGCATTAATGTGGCGCATGAGTTTCTCACATTTATGCAACAGTCCAACAACATACATCATCTCACGATTATTACTTGCGCTCTTTTGAGACACTTCCATATAATATAACATTATATAATTTACGTATTTAAGTGGTGTATCATAAATACAATAGCATACGATTATAAGACGTAGTTCTTTTTTTGCTACCTGTAAAAGACAGATCGGTAAATCACATTATTGCAGCGTAATCGCAATTATCGCAAACGCAATTCGTCGGACTCGTAACGTTGACTCGAAATTTTACACGGGAGACTTTGTCGTTTTTCTTTTTTTAATACTCTTTGTTTACTTTATATTTAATAATTTGCGTAATTCCGAATGGACCAAATTGCAATCTCTCACACTTTGTTTCATGACTACAAAATTAATTTTGATTTAGTCAAAATTATAATGTGAAAATTTCTTCTCGTTTTCCTTTTCGTTCTTGCTTTTCGCATTTATTGTGCAAGAATATGCGTTCCTTAAACATGACTCTCAACTTTGCTATTTCCTGATTTTACGACAGCATTTTCCACGGAAGACGGCATATGACGGCATAAATACTCTTGTAAACTAATCAACGCGATCTGGGAATTGCTCTTCGGTCAAGCACGTTCGAAACATATTTATGCGAAGTACGGGAAAAAATTGCATTGATTCATGTCTAAGTATATACTGCTCATACCTTGAATAATTCAATTTTTTATCCGCGTGCACGAGGGGTGGCATGCAATGTTATTTTTTCATCGTCATAAATAAAGGAGACGGACTTTCGCTCGACGACATCTGACTTTTTTGACAGTACAATTCTTTGAACCGATTAAACCGTTTGAATTGATTACGCATCGAAATATGTGCAATACTGGAAATTTGTATTCCAATGCGAGGTCACATTGTTGCAGCGTAATCGCAATTATCGCAAACGCAATTCGTCGGACTCGTAACATCGACTCGAAATTTTACACGGGGAACTTTGCCGTTTTTCTTTTTTTAATATTCTTTGTTTATTTTATATTCAATAATTTATGTAATTCCGAATAGACCGAATTACAACCTCTCACGCTTCGTTTCGCGATTAAAAAATTGATTTTGATTTAATTAAAATTATAATGTGAAAATTTTGTTTTACATTTCGTTCTTGCTTTTCGCATTTATTCTGCAAGAGTCTACATTCCTTAAACACGACTCTCAACTTTGCTATTTCATGATTTTACGACGGTATTTTCCACGGAAGGCTGCATATGACGGCATAAATACTCTTGTAAACTAACCGACGCGATCTGGAAATTGCTCTTTGGTCAAGCACGTTCGAAACATATTTGTGCGAAGTACGAGAAAAAAATGTGTAGACTCATGTCTAAGTATATACTGCCCATATCTTGAATAATTCAATTTCTTATCCGCGTGCGCATGGGGTGGCATGCAATGTTATTTCTTCATCGTCATAAATAAAGAAGACGGACTTTCGCTCGACGACATTTGATTTTTTTGACAGTTCAATTCTTTAAACCGATTAAACCGTTCAAATTGATTACGCATCGAAATATATGCAATGCTGGAAATTTGTATTCCAATGTGAGATGAAAACAATTTCACGTTTTCGTTTCCACACACACACACACACACACACACACACACACACACACAGCTCAAAGTCTTCGAATTAAAAAATCTATTGATTGTATTAATGGATTAAAAACCGAGATAGCTATCTGAAATCGATTTCTTTTGAATTTTGACTTCTCTGACTATAGAGATCGGATTTTTCGATTATTAATGTGACAATAGATATTCGATTAGAATAGATTATTTATTCGTTATTCCAATAGTAATCATATAAAACAACATAAATTATCAATCATACAAAAAATGCTTCGTAAACAAAATTTGCATTTCATTACTGAAAAAACACAGAGAAAAAAAATTACGTAATCAAAACCTTGAAGAAAAAAAAATCGTTATTGAGATAATTTATCTTTAAGTTTCTACCTCAATGTGACGATTTCAAGACAAGTGATTCAATTCTTAAGAATTCTCTCGAAAAAATACGAAAAGCTCTTAAATCACGTTCATATATCAAGTTATCATGTAAGTTATACATGCACGCGCCGAGAAAAATCGTTTATTCACGCAACACATGTCTATAAATGTTCCGCTTTAAAAAAATTATGCCGAGAAACACAGAAATTTAGCAAATCTTAATGAAGATACGTGTAAACGAGATAGTCGACATAAACAAATGTGTAATTTTAGCCGTCGCGAACAGGATAACAAGCTAACATCATCGAAAACATTGTAAGCTAACATTAAATTTCATTTGCGTTGCGTAAAATATGCGCTTTCGCCACTTGTTTGCGCATAATTTCGATCAATTTGATGACAAGGATGTCTCCAATGACATTGCAGTTGTCTCCAGAAATACATTTTCCTATTGAATACGACATATGTTCTGAAAGCCACTTTGAAGAAGTATAAATCATTTTAACACAAGTAGAGATTCTATTCAATCGATTTGACGATTTGAGATTAACTCTCTCTCTCTCTCTCTCTCTCTCTCTCTCTCTCTCTTTCTCTCTCTTCCCTGACTCTGCAATCTACAAATTCATTTTTCAAAGTATTATCACTTAACATCTTTCATTTTTCTCTCGCTTTATTTTTCTCCGGATATATATATAAATTGCGCATCTCATGTTTAATTAAGTAGATTTGACGCGTAAAATCGTAATTATTTAGGCATGTATATGATATTTATATAATATCTAGATATCTAGATATCTGAAACTGTTACAATTTAAATATTAATTTGTTATTGCATCGATCCATCCATCTCTTTCTTTTTTGCTTTATTATGTATGGTGCATAAATCATAATAAATTGAATTTATGTTATTTTTGTATATACTTAATATATATAAAATATTAAACCTTGAAATCTCTAATTCTATCTCGATACTATTTGAGACAAAAAATCGAGGGGTGTCTCACTACATGTACGATTTTTCTGGAATTACATATTACTTCACATTACGTTGTATTCGTATTACGCCACATTACTTCGCATTTATTTATAAGTCTTATAGCACAAACCAATAATAACCCAGACAAGATTAAAAACCTCTGAATCTTATAAAAAAATGAAAATGATGTCATTATGATGTCTTTTAGATACGCGTAAATAATTCTCTGAGAGACAAATTTATGCTTATTTATCAAGATTTTAGATAAATCAATATTTCAGATAACTATAAAAAGCTAATTTTTTAAATTTAATAAAATAAATTGAAAATAAGGTGGTGTTAAGACAATCGACACTATGTTGGTTTTTTGCTACAAAATGCGGCCGACTGTCTACAGGTAGATTGTTACGAATAAGAGGGATGTCCAAAGAAATGTCTAAAAAATATCAAAAACCGAAAAAGAACTAAATAAAAAGAGTGCAAACCTAAAAACCAAGAAAAAAACTCAAAATAATGACCTTTTATCTGAAAATACGTCTTCTATAGTTGAACTCGAATGTGAACTCGTCCGTCGCATTACTTAGAATTACACGGCGCATTACATGAAATTACTTGGATAATTCCCGATAATTCGCAATACATGTACAAATTTTTGATGAATAAGACACCCCTCGCAAAAAATGCATAACAAAATATTATCTCAACATACAGTAAATTATGATTAAGAGTAAATCATGACTAAAAGCTTCAATATATTTATATAACATAAAATGAATAACATCGTACTATGTTTTATTCAATTATAGTTCGATTCGGATTATTCAAAATATTATATTTGTAAATATGTTTGTCTTATCGCTTCTTTTGAAATGCAATGATATCGATCAATAATTATTTTATGCAATATAAGATTATATAGTGTGTGTGAAGCTAGCATATCATTTCGTGGAAGATCATAAATAATTAAGAGTTCTGGCTTTTTATCACTTAATGACTGATAATTATGTAAGATATTCCCGGGAACATCCTGTATAACTTGATGATAATTGCGTTATGCCGAGTGACGAAATATTATACATATTATACTTAAAATATGAAAATGACGATAAGGAATATTACTAAAATAAAAAAAAAAAAAATATTTTTTGTTCCTATTGTTATATGTTTACAAAGATTTACGATTCACGTGATAAGTGATCGCATGGATTTTTATCGCTGACTCGCGAGTGAATCTCCTTCTATGTAAAAAAAATACTACAAATAATTATTCTAGCAACAGACCGTTTTGTACGTACGGTTCAACAACGAAATACCTTGGTAGATAGCCTTGGCACACCGTTATTGATGCCAAGCCTTATCTCTTCGAAAACTGACGTCTCTTCAGTGTCGGTCACTCTAACAAAAGTGCCGCTAAAAACGTTGCTCAAATAAATATCTGGCCGTATCTTCTTTATTTTTGCAGTACGACAATCTCGGCGCCGAAGAATTTTCGTGTGGACGAAAATTCCCGCGAGAATGCGCCGCTTCCACAATTTATGTGATAATGAGTATGATGCCAGTGGGATTTGCACTATCTAGAGTCGTCGGGACACCCCGTGAAGGTGCGTGCCATCGGCGCGCGGTAAAACGGACTGAATAGAACGATGCCTCTACTTGCCATTTTAACAAATGGCACATGTCCCCGGTGGGGGAGTCTGATATAGTCCCGTACGCGCTCGATAGTCAGAATACTCAATAGCGTGCAGAAAAACGATCAACTTTTCCAGAGGAAAACACATCTGATTATCAATTCATGATCTAGAAATATAAGTCAAGTACTGACGTAGGCGATTGTTGCTGTCGACGGTTGTACAACCATAGTATTTTTTGAATGCAGCTGGATATTTTTACTCTGCCTTTTTACGTTTCGACTGCGTTCCATTTTTTCGTTTCTTACGCGACAAAAGTAATAGATATATGTATTAAATATTGTTTAAAGGGATTTCGCTTCTTGAAATTTAAAATAAATTACATTAAATTAAATAATTGAAGTTTCATATAGATTTTCATTCAAAATCAAAAACATTGCATAGAGAATATGGAGTTATGTGATTAAAACACTTATAAAGAGATCAATTTTAATATAGCTTAAAGAAATAGTTTGTTAATTCGAATATTAATTTTTGATCAAAATGTATCTGCAGAAAAATTTTATTTCAAGACAGAATCGAGAATATTCTATTAAATTAGAAATAACATTAAGTATAAAAATTATAACCCCATTAAATATCAATGGAAATTTCTTCAGCAAATTCTGATTAAATTATATTCAAGAACATTTTTTTATTTGATTAATATGATTTTTATTTGATGATATTAATTTGTATACTACAAATGTTACAAGATTCCTTTAACAGTATTGCAGTAATACCAGAGCATATTACATAATGCAATAGCGTAGCAATACAATATTTTATGATATTACGAAACGAAAACAAAAATTGGAAAGTTGGTATAAATAAAATTTAAATTTTATGTTTGAAGACATGTTTAAATTATATTTTATAAAATACTTTTTTTTTGGTTAGAAAACATTATGGGACAGTAACTCGGAATTAGAGAAATTCGGGTCAATACCTGAGGCGTTACACGTGCGGTCAGCGGCTCAGCACCTCGAATGATAGTAGAGGGATCGTAGGCATCGGCTCAGATATCGGCTCGAAAAGGACATCTAATTTCGAGTATGTGGGATAAAAAAATTTCTATCATCAATAAGCAAAGAAAGAAAAAGAGGGGGGGAGAGAGAGAGAGAGATTTTTATGCATTCTCACATCTATGCATATATGCCTGTGAAAAACACACATACATAAAGTGATAATTGAACAGATATTATTTCCCCAAAAATTATAATAAAATTCTAATACTTCTTTTAACGTAATTAAATTATTAATGTTAGATAAAAATGCCTCTTTTTCAATCTAAATCTAAATTGCAACCTTATGTCAAAAATAACTTGTTAGACGTCTGATCTCCTCGTTTCGAGATAATTTAAGAACTCCGAAAATATATAGATAAAAAATATTAATATTATTAAAATATTAATAAAATCAACCCAGGTAGCACATGTTGGTATCATAAACGTTTCTTAAATATGTCTAATGGTATTAGATATTTTTCTACCTGATATTTAATATTTTTATTTAATACAATCGTATTGTTTAATTATTATAATTAGATAATTGTAAAGGTCGCTTTGCTGAGCAGAGGCCACGCGGCGCGTCGATTGGCCGATTCGGGGTACGCTGGCTCGCCGCGAGAGCGCGCTCGCGCGCGCGCCTCGCACTCGCGCGAGAACCAGCGACCGATGGCGACCGACGAGATGTGCCTGCGAAGTTACGTGTGGCCGTCGTGCCGTGTTTAGAGCCGCGTCGTCCGCGCGTGTTCGCGCTTTCCGTCCTCCCCGAGTCACGCTCGTTCGCGTTGACGGTCGCCTCGTGTGTCGTTTTAACCAGCGACGACGTCTCGCGTCGGTGAATGCGTGCCGCGATTCCATCGTATATATGTGCGCGTGTGTGAGTTGCGTGTTGTGTTCGTGACGACGATGTGGTAGTGCGCTGTGTCGAAGAAGTGCCGACCAGTTCACGGTGGATCATCCGTCTGTACCGAGCGAGAGAGGGAGAAAGAGAGATATACACGTATATAGGTAAATATCAGAGTGCGAGCAAGAGAAAGAGAGAATGCGTAGATGTGTGCGCGCGAGAGAGAGAGAGAGAGAGAAAGGACGGGAAGAAAAGTCATGATGTGTCCGCGTTGCAGCTTACGACGAGCCGCCGCCGAGAGCAACGAGAGTTGACACTTTCATGAGAGCATGGACCTGCGGCTGCATCGTCAATCGTTTACGAATCTACGCCGAGAAACAACATCGTCGTCCCACCGTTGTTGTCAGTAAACACCGACGCGAGAGAGGGAGATATACACGTATATAGGTAAATATCAGAGTGCGAGCAAGAGAAAGAGAGAATGCGTAGATGTGTGCGCGCGAGAGAGAGAGAGAGAGAGAGAGAAAGGACGGGAAGAAAAGTCATGATGTGTCCGCGTTGCAGCTTACGACGAGCCGCCGCCGAGAGCAACGAGAGTTGACACTTTCATGAGAGCATGGACCTGCGGCTGCATCGTCAATCGTTTACGAATCTACGCCGAGAAACAACATCGTCGTCCCACCGTTGTTGTCAGTAAACACCGACGAATATACAGAGTGAGTCATTGCTCCTTTGCTCTCTTTCCTTCGTTTCCTCCCCTCCCGCCCTTTCTACCATCATTCATGTCTATTCGCTCCTTCCTCGTTTCGTGTCTTTCCTCGAGCTGACCCGCATTTTTCTCCAAACACCAATACCTGACCTCGAATAACGAGAAGAAAGGGATAGAAAGCTTTGAGAGATTCGATTCCTCAAAGAGAAGAGCAAACCTTCTTATTTGTTAGTCGAGATATAATCTTTATCCGATGTTCGGTTCGCCGTAATTCCGGTGAGTTTACTTTTGAAAGTTTTGAAAGTGTCAATGACACTTTGCGCCCGAGCATTCCGCGATTAAACGTACGAAATATTTTTATCTATTTTTTTCAACCTTCCATCTCGTTGGAATTTTCTCACAAATATTTATATATTTGCCCCCCGTTCTATATTTCTTTATTATTATCAACCCCTGTTTACTCTCATACTTTCTTACTTTTGCCGATTATCGCAGCATCCTCGTTTCCCCCGTTAGTCTCGTCCCGATTCTTGCATTCCACAGATTACGAAGTTGATTACGGACGGAAAAGCCATCGAGAGATCATCACCGAAATGACCGGCCGGGCGATACGCGTTTTTTTTTTTTTTTTTTTCCATTCCGCGATAGAGAGAGATTCAACGACCGCATTCAGAAATCCCCGTTTTCTCGCCGCTCCGGCGTGTATACAACTCACGCACGCACGCACGCACACACACACACGTGCCCGCACCGCCGCCGGACGCAGCCGTGCGTTTTCTCGAGCCGCGCTGCTTTTCTGCGGTCGGTGCTTTCGTTTCGACTGGTCGCGACTGGTGCTTTTTCTTCGCCGCCC